GCGGGGGGGGGGGGATACCATCACTTGGATCGCTTACGCCGAAATGCGCGCGGAGACATGCACGACAACACAACACGCGGGTGGGGGGGGGCACGTCAGTCGCCACCATCTACCGTACGACGACTCACGGTCGGCCTTGCCCCGCTCGTCCTCGAGGGCCGCAGTCAGCTCCGCAAGCCCGGCGAAGTACTCGCTCGAAGCCTGCACGTCTCCGCACCGGGCGCTCACCGCCAGCAGCCACTGCAGCAAGTACTTCCGCAGCACCAGCCAGCCGCCCTCCCCAGCCCCCCCGCCCGCCAGAGGCGCGACAGCCGACGAGGAGGATGGCGGAGATGAGGAGGGATCCCCCCCGGGCGGTGGCGGCGGGTGGGGCGGGAGGAGGGCCCCGTAGCCCTCCCCGGCCATGCGGGCGAGCAGGTGCGCCGTGTTCCACGTCTCGGAGTCCGAGCAGAGCATCGCCGACAGATGCGCGAACAGCGCCGCCTTGCGCTGTTTGTATATATTTTATTTTGTCGTTATTGACCATGGTGGTGGACGGCGCGGGGGGGGTGCCTTCGTTGTTTTTATTCCGTATTGGAGGGAGATATGCCGCACGACGAGAGGATTCCTACTCGATCAAAAAGCGTTGTTATTATTGTTTCGTATTGGAGGGAGACACGCCACGCGACGAGAGGATTGCTATTCGATCAACAAAGCGTTGTCACTATTGTCTCTGTTGTTGATATTGTTTCATCGTGGAAGCATTTCATGCCATATGACAAGAGGATTGTCGTTTTCGTTTCGTTGTTTGTTATTCTTTGGTGGTTGTTAATATTGTTACTCTTATGGCGGTGGGCTGCTTCGTCGATTGGTACTACAGGGGGGGATCGTTTGGTCCTCTTCGTGCGTTCAACACGCTAAGCCCAAACAATTACCTTGAGCCCCATGCCTTCGCAGATCACCGCGGCCTCGATGCTCCGCTCCAGCTGCACGTGCATGGGCATGTCCGGCACCGACAACGCCCGCAGCAGTGCCGCCAGCGCTTCCTCCCACCTGAGACAACGTAGTGGTCAGAAGTGGGCCCCAGTCGCGAGCAAGCAGGCCAGGCGGCACAAAAAACACGGCGGTCGAACCGAAGAAACCGGGTCATACCGGTTGACCCAAGGGGGAGTTGCGCGTGTGAAAGGGCGGGGGAGAGAGGATACAAGACAGGGATAGAGACGACGAGGGGGGAGGGTAGAATATGAGGGTGTGCGAAGGAGAAAAATCGACGCAAATAATTCCGGAACGTCCCGGACAAGGCTCTTGCCCTTACCACAAACCTTTCGGACCGCCTTCGCGAGACTGTTAGGTTAATGAGGAAGAAGAACTGGGAGGGGGTACCCAGACCCTATCCCTAACCCTATCCCAACTTCCCCAGGGTATACTTTATCCAACATGTTTACTTTGTCGAATAACCCTGCCAAGGCTACTGAACATTTCGCCGTGGGCACTGACGTTATTTTTATTGATCTGCACGCGAGCGAGGTCAGAGATAATTCAAAAAGTACACGCACAACACAAAGCGTGTTCGTGGTTCTCTTATCCCGCTACAAGAGTGAGGTCTTCTCATTGGTCAGCCGGTTAGCGCGGCCGATGCTAGTTGAACAAACGCACACACAAAAAGCTTGTTCGCGCTTCTACATCCCGCTAAAGCACAAGGCCGACGTCTTCCCAATGGTCAGCCGGCTATCGCGGCCGATGCCGAAGAAGAAACAAATACACATGGTACACGACACATGACAGGCCTACCTCGGGGTCGGTTGCGCGCAGGCATGGAACCTCGCCGTCTTGAAGCACAGTTCCACCTCCAGCGAGCCTAGGGGAGGGTGGCGGCTAAACACGGCCAGCGCCTCCTCGCATTTTTCTGACACCACAGCTGAGGAGACATAATCACAGCATGAGGATGAACATGCGCGCGGCGGCGGGGGGGGGGGGGGGGGGCTCTTCCTCAACGAAAAAAATTGGTACGTATCGCAACAGCAGTCGTGGTCAAACGGAAGGTTAACTCCAACCTCTCAAGAGTGCACATTGATTCCGACTTTTTTTCTCATCTGACCGGTCCCATGTGTACCTTCCTGACGCAGGGTCCAGGCGGACGAAATGCCACCTCAGTAACAAAAAATCTACAATAAAAGAAAATTACACCGCGTTTGTTGTTCTACAAACAATGTAACTTTACACCGCGTTTGTTGTTTTGATGTTCACGTTGCAGTTCTTCTTCAACAAAACTGTGAATTTACACCATACCACCCACGTATACTCGTTCTATCTTTGGTCTGGCTGGTGTTCATGTGTACTGTACCTCACACGACCACGGTCCAGGTCGAAGAGACGTCGCTTACTAACACAAGAACTACACGAAAAAAAAAGAAGCACATTTTGATTTATCAACGCACGTTGCACGTTTTCGAAATATATTTACAAATCCACAGCATGATTACGAACCACGACGTCATATCCACACGGTGGTGGCGACGACTCCCATCGCACACCATGGACTAATGTGATTGGTCTCCATGTGTAGACTATACCTTCCGCGAGCACGGTCCAGGTCGAGGAGCCCTCCTGACCCGCCCGTTCCAGCTCCTTGTCCTTGGCCATGTCCCTCAGCAGGGCCAGCGCCTGGTCCCCGTGCACCGTGGGGTGGTCGGCGTCGCTCATGGCCGACAGGCAGGCGGCGTAGCCCTCCAGGCAGCCGGCGTGCCAGAGGGGGTCCGTGGACGCCTTGGTCTCGGACATGGACTGACTGTAGTGCTCCAGGGCGTCCTTGGGGCGGAGGAGCAGAGAAAGTACACACACAGAAAGACACTAAAATATTGGAAGAGAGAGGGAGAGCGATTGATGCTCGTTCGTGGTTTTCGTCGCCAGCGGCGGACAGGCCGATCGATTCGTGTGTGCGGACACACATCGAGGAGCTGCCGTGGTTGGGTAACATACCTGTAGACGTGTCAAAAGAACAAGGGTTATACCCGCACAAACATACGTTTTCCATATGGGTCTAATACAAGAAAAACCCAGAGCCCAAAAACAAAAAACAGAGGGAAGGTGAAACGGACGGACGGGCGGACGAACCTTGGGCGAGCCGAGAAGGAGACAGGTGTCCCCGATCCACTTGTGCAGGCGCCCTACTCTCCGCTTGGCGTTCTTGCTGTCGCTCAGCACCTCCTCCCGCTCGTACCACGACCTGCCATCGCCGTCGCCGTCGTCATCACCGATTTCGCTTGGGTTGCCTCGCAGTCGGTTTCGTTGTTGTGTCGTTTTCGTGTAGATTGGCTCTGCGTGATGTGTGTGTGTGTAGCTGGCCTACAACGCTTGGAACGATGCGGATTCTTGAACAGCATTGCACGCTTTAGAAAATCAGATCGAAAGTCCACAAATCCTAAGCATGCCCTCTCATTGCGCTTCACATGGGTCAAGCGCCTGCGTTTAGTGCCGTCTGGACTGGCCGCACTTCGAGGAAGGAACCTGCGCCGAAATCTTCTCGCACTGAAAACTAACGGCGCCGTGCACGGCGGGACCACCACCACCACCAACAACAACAACACAAAAACAGATGTGTGCTTACGTCAGGGGCGGCGCCGCGTCGTTGTTTCCACGGAGCACGGCCACGGCTCTGCCCGCGGCGGAGGGGGGGGAGGCCGAGGACCTCCACGTCTTGATGTCGGCGGCGAGGTTCTTGATGATGGAGACGGCCACGTCGTACAGGCTAACGGCCATGTGCAGCTCCGTCGTGCTCCCTCCACCCTTGCAGAACGAGACAAAAAGGAAAAAAATGAGTCCCAGGAAGAACAAACCGTCTTGTTCAAAAGCAATTAGTTTGCTCAAAAAAACAACACAACAAGTGGGATTCCTTGACAGCAAAACGGAGGGAATCGCTATCGGTTCAGATTCGCTGTCCCAGAGGTTCAGGCTTGATGGAGTGTTTGCTCGCGTAAACATCGTCGGCTCCAATCAAACACGCGCACCTCAAACTCTTTCTCCGAGCGGGGGAAACACCATCACCAACACGAACACCTACACCATCAACAAACAAAAATAATATCTCGTCGGCTCCAATCAAACACGCGCGCGCCTCTTGTTCCAAGCGGGGGATACGCCCTCACCACCAACACCAAACAACTCCGTCGGCGCCAATGAAACACTCCCACCGCTGCCCCTCGAACTCTTGCTCCGGGGGG